ACATGTATATATTTTTTTTAAAGTAGACAACCCAGGGTATTCATCTAAGGATATTTTGACACTTTCTATGCAGCCATTTTACCACAAGTCTTTGCCAAACTTTGCATAGATGGTTGTTTTTTTTGTTTTTTTTCACATACATTGCAATTCAGGTATAAACTTACAGATCCTGTTATGTCTTGCTGCCAAACAACACACTAATATATGTTCAGCAACATCTCCCGAGTACAGTGATCCCACCCATGCATAGGCTTGTTGAGTTTTTTGGCAGCTAAAAGGCCACATTTGGCAGGTGCGGATATCCATTTTCCAACTTGGAATTTTGACATGTAGTCAACCTGCACACACGTCCTATTTGGGACATTTGTAAGGCCAGCCAATGTATTTTACCCCCACCAAACCATATATTTTTGGAAAGTAGACACCCTAGGGTATTTCAAATGGTGTTTTTTTTTTTTAACACTTTCCATGCACTAATTCTACCACCAGACTTTGTCAAACATTTAGGTAGTCATTTTTTGTGTCTTTTTTTTTCACACACATTGTACTTTAGGCATGAATTAACAGATCGTGTTATGTGTCACTGCCATACAACACGCCAATATGTGTTCAGCAAAATCTCCTGAGTACAGTGATACCACCCATGCATAGGCTTGTCAGATTGTTTGGGGGCTAAAAAGCCACATTTGGCAGGGTCGCATATCCATTTTTCAACTTGGAATTTTGACATGTAGTCAACCTGCGCACATGTCCTATTTGGGACATTTGTAAGGCCGGCCAATGTATTTTACCCCCACCAAACCATATATTTTTGGAAAGTAGACACCCTAGGGTATTTCAAATGGTGGTTTTTTAACACTTTCCATGCACTAATTCTACCACCAGACATTGTCAAACATTTAGGTAGTCATTTTTTGTGTGTTTTTTTTCACACACATTGTACTTTAGGCATGAATTAACAAATCGTGTTATGTGTCACTGCCAAACAACACGCCAATATGTGTTCAGCAACATCTCCTGAGTACAGTGATACCACCCATGCATAGGCTTGTCGGATTGTTTGGGGGCTAAAAGGCCACATTTGGCAGGTGCGCATATCCATTTTTCAACTTGGAATTTTGACATGTAGTCAACTTGCGCACATGTCCTATTTGGGACATTTGTAAGGCCGGCCAATGTATTTTACCCCCACCAAACCATATATTTTTGGAAAGTAGACACCCTAGGGTATTTCAAATGGTGGTTTTTTAACACTTTCCATGCACTAATTCTACCACCAGACATTGTCAAACATTTAGGTAGTCATTTTTGTGTGTTTTTTTCACACACATTGTAATTTAGGCATGAATTAACAAATCGTGTTATGTGTCACTGCCAAACAACACGCCAATATGTGTTCAGCAACATCTCCTGAGTACAGTGATACCACCCATGCATAGGCTTGTCGGATTGTTTGGGGGCTAAAAGGCCACATTTGGCAGGTGCGCATATCCATTTTTCAACTTGGAATTTTGACATGTAGTCAACCTGCGCACATGTCCTATTTGGGACATTTGTAAGGCCGGCCAATGTATTTTACCCCCACCAAACCATATATTTTTGGAAAGTAGACACCCTAGGGTATTTAAAATGGTGGTTTTTTAACACTTTCCATGCACTAATTCTACCACCAGACATTGTCAAACATTTAGGTAGTCATTTTTTGTGTGTGTTTTTTCACACACATTGTACTTTAGGCATGAATTAACAAATCGTGTTATGTGTCACTGCCAAACAACACGCCAATATGTGTTCAGCAACATCTCCTGAGTACAGTGATACCACCCATGCATAGGCTTGTCGGATTGTTTGGGGGCTAAAAGGCCACATTTGGCAGGTGCGCATATGCATTTTTCAACTTGGAATTTTGACATGTAGTCAACCTGCGCACATGTCCTATTTGGGACATTTGTAAGGCCGGCCAATGTATTTTACCCCCACTAAACCATATATTTTTGGAAAGTAGACACCCTAGGGTATTTCAAATGGTGGTTTTTTAACACTTTCCATGCACTAATTCTACCACCAGACTTTGTCAAACATTTAGGTAGTAATTTTTTGTGTGTTTTTTTCACACACATTGTACTTTAGGCATGAATTAACAAATCGTGTTATGTGTCACTGCCAAACAACATGCCAATATGTGTTCAGCAACATCTCCTGAGTACAGTGATACCACCCATGCATAGGCTTGTCGGATTGTTTGGGGTCTAAAAGGCCACATTTGGCAGGTGCGCATATCCATTTTTCAACTTGGAATTTTGACATGTAGTCAACCTGCGCACATATCCTATTTGGGACATTTGTAAGGCCGGCCAATGTATTTTACCCCCATCAAACCATATATTTTTGGAAAGTAGACACCCTAGGGTATTTCAAATGGTGGTTTTTTAACACTTTCCATGCACTAATTCTACCACCAGACTTTGTCAAACATTTAGGTAGTCATTTTTGTGTGTTTTTTTTCACACACATTGTACTTTAGGCATGAATTAACAAATCGTGTTATGTGTCACTGCCAAACAACACACCAATATGTGTTCAGCAACATCTCCTGCGTACAGTGATACCACCCATGCATAGGCTTGTCGGATTGTTTGGGGGCTAAAAGGCCACATTTGGCAGGTGAGCATATCCATTTTTCAACTTGGAATTTTGACATGTAGTCAACCTGCGCACATGTCCTATTTGGGACATTTGTAAGGCCGGCCAATGTATTTTACCCCCACCAAACCATATATTTTTGGAAAGTAGACACCATAGGGTATTTCAAATGGTGTTTTTTTTAACACTTTCCATGCACTAATTCTACCACCAGACTTTGTCAAACATTTAGGTAGTAATTTTTTGTGTGTTTTTTTTCACACACACATTGTACTTTAGGCATGAATTAACAAATTGTGTTATGTGTCACTGCCAAACAACACACCAATATGTGTTCAGCAACATCTCCTGAGTACAGTGATACCACCCATGCATAGGCTTGTCGGATTGTTTGGGGGCTAAAAGGCCACATTTGGCAGGTGCGCATCTCCATTTTTCAACTTGGAATTTTGACATGTAGTCAACCTGCGCACATGTCCTATTTGGGACATTTGTAAGGCCGGCCAATGTATTTTACCCCCACCAAACCATATATTTTTTGGAAAGTAGACACCCTAGGGTATTTCAAATGGTGGTTTTTTAACACTTTCCATGCACTAATTCTACCACCAGACTTTGTCAAACATTTAGGTAGTCATTTTTTGTGTGTTTTTTTTCACACACATTGTAATTTAGGCATGAATTAACAAATCGTGTTATGTGTCACTGCCAAACAACACGCCAATATGTGTTCAGCAACATCTCCTGAGTACAGTGATACCACCCATGCATAGGCTTGTCGGATTGTTTGGGGGCTAAAAGGCCACATTCGGCAGGTGCGCATATCCATTTTTCAACTTGGAATTTTGACATGTAGTCAACCTGCGCACATGTCCTATTTGGGACATTTGTAAGGCCGGCCAATGTATTTTACGCCCACCAAACCATATATTTTTGGAAAGTAGACACCCTAGGGTATTTCAAATGGTGGTTTTTTAACACTTTCAATGCACTAATTCTACCACCAGACATTGTCAAACATTTAGGTAGTCATTTTTTGTGTGTTTTTTTTCACACACATTGTACTTTAGGCATGAATTAACAAATCGTGTTATGTGTCACTGCCAAACAACACCCCAATATGTGTTCAGCAACATCTCCTGAGTACAGTGATACCACCCATGCATAGGCTTGTCGGATTGTTTGGGGGCTAAAAGGCCACATTTGGCAGGTGCACATATCCATTTTTCAACTTGGAATTTTGACATGTAGTAAACCAGCGCCCCTGTCCTATTTGGGCCAATGTATTTTACCCCCATCAAACCATATATTTTTGAAAAGTAGACAACTCAGGGTATTTTAAATGGTGGTAGTTTAATACTTTTCATGCAATAATTCTACCACCAGCCTTTGGCAAACTTTTGGGTAGTAATTTTCTTCATGTTTTTTTACACATACATTGTACTTTAGGCATGAATTAACAGATCCTGTTATGTATCACTGCCAAACAACACCCCAATATGTGTTCAGCAACATCTCCTGAGTACAGTGACATCACCCATGCATAGGTTTGCTGGGTTGTTTGGGGGCTAAAAGGCCACATTCAAGACTTGTACATATCAGTTTTTCAACTTGATATATAGGTATGCTTGGCCTATCTTCAGTTTGGCATATTTTTGCATCCTCCGTTAATGTTAACATCATGAAAGTTTATATTTTTATAAAGTAGACATTCCAGAGTATTGTATATGAGGTGTTTTCACATCCTTCCCCCAACCATTGTGCTAAACAAATTTCAGAGAACGTGCATGGTGGTAATTTTTTAATTCTGCTTTTTATGCACACGTCATCTGGTTTTGGCCAGCCAGTTATATGTTACTACCATAAAACTTTTTTAACCAAATGTGCAGGTATCAAATGCACCTTTAGCAGTATTCTCTAAACTAACTCCTGCAAAAAGAATCTAATTGGAGATTTGGGGGGAAGGAAACTGACTAACTAAAATTTGCTGCTTTCAAAAGAAAAAAAAACAAAGTGTCCTTTTCCTTTTTTATAACAGACCAGCAACATTTCAGGGGATTTGTTTTTTTTTTGCAGTTGGCGGTATCTTAAAAATAAAATGTCTGGACTCCTTTGGCACCGTTGTTGGAACTTGACCATCTCCATAAATTATTGTGGAAATCAGCTTGAACTAAAATTGGAGAAAGGTGGTTCTTTCTGAATTCATTTTTTTTTAAAGAGTAAAAATTAATTATGTGTTGCTACTTGCATCAGGTAGATAGCCACCTTTTTATGCCAGGCTTTTGTCTTTCTTAAGATAAGATATGGCTGCATCAGCTGATCAGCCAAATCAACACCCCCCATGTGCCTGTTATAAGCCCTGATGCACACCGGTTTTGTCTGTACCCTGCCTCGGACAGTGACGTCTGACATGCCCTCGTTATGGATGGTTGTTAGCATGTGAACATCCTTCCTGTCCTTAAATTTTATTGCAAGCACTTTAGCTTTGTGCAGACCTTTACATTCACTTTTTTTTTTTTTTTTTTGGCCTCTATTAAAGGTCTGGGGAAATCCTTGGCATATCTTCTCACACTGCCACAGGCCAGTATCTAGAAACCCTAAAGAGTTTGAAACAAACAAACAATGCTATAAAAATTGTCCACATAAAGGTGGTAACCCTTATTGAACAAGGGGATCAGTAAGTCAAAACAAGTTTCCCCGCTTGTCCCCAGAGAGTCGGGGTACAGCCAGGAGGGTCCAGTTGACCATCTTTCCCCTCATATATACTAAAGGCAAATGTATAGCTACTCTCGCTTCTCAAGCATTGCTTGTAGAATTTTTAATACTATACCTAAAGCGCTTTGAGGGGATGTATTGTTTGAATCCTAATCTCCCTTTATATTTCATTAACGATTCATCAATAGATACATTTTTTTGAGGAGTATAAACTTCAGTAAATTTGTGCTGAAGATGGTCTACCAGTGAGTGTATTTTATGAAGCCTATCATATTGGGTGTGATCTCTGGGGTGACAGAGGGTATTGTCATTCAAATGTAAGTATCTCAGCAGCAGCTCAAATCTTGTTCTAGACATGGTTTGAGAGTACACTGGACTAGAACAGATTGGGTTGGTGCTCCAGTAAGAGCGAATTGATGGTTTCTTTATAACCCCATGAGAATTGTACATTCAGAATTTTTAAGTTCAGCTTATTATCTGCGGATGCCAAGCACACTCCTCCTGACTGCATAGCTATCTGGATTGGTATCAATAAATTGGGTAGCATATACCAGTCTGGGGAGCAATCTCCCTCCCAATAATGGTATCCCCCCTAAAAATAGCCCATATATATTGCATAGAGGAGAAGTCATCCACATTGACACATTAATGCCCGTGTTGGCACCCAAAAGGGGTGTGATTTTGGGCTCAGCTAACTGTGAAAGTCCTGTTCCTCCTCCATTCCACGTAGCAGAGAAAGCACAGCTTTTTGCAGCCAGCTCACACACAGATGACATGTCAGAAAACTGACCTGGGTCAAAATCGGACGCAGTGTCAGTGGCGTCAGAGTCTGGCTAACACAGAGTTAAAAAACAGACTAAATGAGACTAAAACTTCTGTTAGCAGCAATCTGTAAACCAACTCCTGCAAAAAGAATCTAACTGGAGATTTGGGGGAAGGATACTGACTAACAGAAATTTGCTGCTTTCAAAATAAACAAAAAAAAAAAATCAGGAACAAGTATTATAAAAATGTATTTTCTGTGTGGTAGACCTTAAAACATTCTCCAATGCACAGTCAAGGTTTTGTATGGCAATCGGGACAGTGAAAAGGGGTGTCTGTCCTTTTCCCTTTTTTATAACAGACCCGGCAACGTTTCTGGGGGTTTTTCTTTTTTTTTTTTGGTGTTGGTACATCTTAAAATAAAATGTCCTGAGCACGACTCTTTTTATGGGTTGTGGAACTGACCATCTCATAAATTATTGTGGAAATCAGCGAGGCTGGGAATTTGGAGATAGGTAGTTCTTCCTGGATTCATTTTTTTAAAAAGTAAAAATGAATTATATGTTGCTACTTGCAACAGGTAGATAGCCACCTTTTTATACCAGGCTTTTGTCTTTCTTAAGATAAGATAAGGCTGCATCAGCTGATCAGCCAAATCAACACCCCCCCATGTGCCTGTTATAAGCCCTGATGCACACCGGTTTTGTCTGTACCCTGCCTCGGACAGTGACGTCTGACATGCCCTCGTTATGGATGGTTGTTATCATGTGAACATCCTTCCTGTCCTTAAATTTTAGCGCAAGCAGTTCAGCCTTGCGCAGAGCTTTGCATTCCCCTTTTTTTAATTTGGCCTCTATGAGAGGTCTGGGAAAATCCTTGGCATTTCTTCTTACAGTGCCGCAGGCCAGTGTCTGTAAACTATAAAGAATTTTAAACAAGTGGACACTGCTGTAAAAATTGTCCACATAAAGGTGGTAACCCTTATTGAACAAAGGGTTCAGTAGGTCCCAAACAAGTTTCCCAGTTGTCCCCAGAGAGTCAGGACAGCCAGGAGGGTTCAGTTGAGCATCTTTCCCCTCGTATACACGGAAGGCAAATGTGTAGCCACTTTCGCTCTCGCAAAGTTTGTACACTTTAATGCCATACCTAGACCGCTTTGAGGGGATATATTGTTTGAACCCTAATCTCCCTTTGTATTTCATAAGGGATTCATCGATGGATAAAGTTTGTTGGGGAGTATAAACTTCAGAAAATCTGTTCTGAAGATGGTCTACCAGTGGGCGTATTTTATAAAGCCTATCATATTCGGGGTGATCTCTGGGGTGACAGAGCGTATTGTCGTTAAAATGTAAGTATCTGAGCAGCAGCTCATATCTTGGTCTAGGCATTGTTTGGGAGAATATAGGAGTCGAACAAATTGGGTTGGTGCTCCAGTAAGACCGGATTGATGGCTTTTTTATTATCCCCATGAGCATGGTAAGAGCCCAGAATGTTTTAAGTTCAGGGACATCTGTGGGATGCCAAGCATGCTCCCTGACTGTATAGCTACCTGGATTGGTCTCAATAAATTGGCTAGCGTATAAATTAGTCTGGGAAGCAATCTCCTCCCAGATGGTATCCCCTAAAAATAACTCCATATATTGTATAGGGGAGAAGTCAACCACATTCACATTAATGCCTGCGTTGGCACTAAAAGGGGGGATGTTGGGCTCAGCTAACTGTGGAGGTACCCAGTCCTCCTCCACATTCAGCGTAGCAGGGGAAGCACAGCTTCTTTTAGCAGCTGGCTCACTCACAGATGACATGTCACTAGACGTGCCGCTAAACTGACCTGGGTCAAAATCGGACGCAGTGTCAGTGGCGTCAGAGTCTGACGCCAAGAAGGCATATGCCTCCTCCAAGCTGTACATGCGCTGCATGTTTCACACCAACAGACTAAACTAACAAAATACTAAACACAATATTTTTTTTTAAAAACACTAAAACAGACTAAAACAGTAATCCCTAAACTAACTCCTGTTAGAAGAATCTAATGGAGATTTGGGGGAAGGAAACTGACTGACTACGACAGGCTATGACAGACTATGACAGACTACGACAGACTACGACAGACTAAAACAGACTAAAACAGACTACGACAGAAGACAGTCTAAGACAGTCTAAGACAGTCTAAGACAGTCTTTTTAAGACAGTCTAAAGTTAAAGTTAACCCTTAAGGGCAAAAAAAAAAATACAGACAGTAAAAATGCACTGTCTGTAACAGATCTGGCAGGGAAGGGGTTAAAATAGGATTTTAATTAACTGAAGATACTTTTTATTTTTCACAGGAACAGCTGCTGCAACAAACTATCAGGATCTCTGTCTCTCTCCTCTCACAAAACGCTACAGAGAGGAGAGAGGCAGAGATCAGTGTCAAAGTGAGTGTTTGTAACACCCACTTTGACACCAGCCAATTGTGAGCGATCGCGGATCGCTCACATGCCGCAATTGGCTGTTACTATCTGCCTGGGATGCCGGGCAGATAGTAACAACGGGATTTCAGCGGAAGCGATCTCTGATCGCTCCCGCCGCCCGTTTTCCGTTAGGACGGTTCAGGACCGTCCTCGGTCGGCAACGCAAAAATGCCGAGGACGGTCCTGAACCGTCATGCGTCCTTAAGGGGTTAATTCACTTACCTAAATGTACATCGGTGCTGGGTCAAGCAACGCCTTCGCTTCTCCTACCCCAATGTTTGTGACCTAATGTACGGCAAACGCATTAGGACAACCCCATAGGAAAGCATTGAACCAATGCTTTCCTATGGGGTTTTAGCTGATGCTGGATGTCCTCATGCATAGTGTGAGGACGTCCAGCATCAGTTAGCCCCAGGAAGAGATGACAGCAGCACCTGTTTTTTTTTTAACATTTTCTGTGCTGCTTGGGAGGCTGCATGAACGTGGGGGACAATAAAGGGACCTATAATGCAGCTCGTCATAGCAAAACAAGGCACATAAAGACTCCAGGCACCAGGATCACTTCTGAACACTTAAATGGACATGATGCTTG